AGTGAGGAGCAGACTACCACAATTGGGTGCAGTTCTTGAAATGGTTCTAGGGCAATTGGTAGACTCTAAGCACTTCAAGCATTGGACAGCTTCATTAGCTAAACCATTGAGTACAGCGTTTGAAAGCCTCACCATCTTGTACATGAATTTGTTGTAGCCCTTCTCCTGGAGAAAGAGCCACAACGCCATAATCATCAAGGATTCTGCTAAGTCACGATGGAGAACGAGTACCAATCGAGAAAAAATTTCTCGATTGGTGGTGTTGATAGTGTGGAGCGCCTCTTGGCTAATTACAATGGAGGAGGACATTTTGACTGTGAGTTGGTTTGTATCTAAGAGAAGAACTAAGAAAGTTGTGTGGTAAATGATTGGTACAAAGCTATATTATATAGGAGAAAAAAGTGTGGGGGTCCTTCATGTCACATGGCAATGCCTCATTCACGTGACACTTACATACACCAAATAATTTAATTAAGAGATGTCATGTGTTTAAAGTTGATAGTCATGTTAGGTAAGTTTTGTAACACCACGAAGCACACTATAATATTTCCTAATTTCAAAATTTTCGATTGGGATTATTCGTAGCAAGTTGTTCATAAGCACATGTAGATGCATGACAATTGTTCTTCGAGTGCAGAAGTTTATATAACCTCCCATATATGATGTTTTTTGTGGCATCCGTTCTTTAAACTCACAACAACTCCCATCACTTTGATTGGATTTCGTTCACGACATCCATATCCGGTTTGATTAATGTATTTAAATCACCTTTGGAGATGACATGCTAAGTGAGAAGCGTTACTGTTGTTGGACGTATAAAATGACAAAAATGTACACGGATTCATGTAAGAGAGAAGTTGTTTTTCATATTTTTTATGAAAAAAAATGTTATATTTAAACTGGCGGCTTTGTTCAAGAACTAGTTACATTGACCCACCAAAAATATTAAATTGACTCACCAAGTTTAAATGGAGACAAAGATGCTGTAGAATAGTGAATGATTCACGTTCAAACTAATAGTTTGCAACTCTATTTCAAGATAATCTTCCTAAAAATTGGGGTATTTATATTTTCATCACTGGATAAAATTGTATTACATTAAAACCAAGTGTTATATTGAATTTCGATTGAGTGTTGCTACCTAACCACCTCCCTTCCCCCTCCCCTCCCCCCCGCCCCCCCCCAAAAAAAAAAAAAAACCCCTTCTCCCTCCTCACATTATAATCTCACCCACCATAAAAAGTGAACAAAAATTAAAGGGTAAATTACATAAAACTATCTCAACTATTGGGTCATTAACAGTTTCATACATCGTCTTTAAAAAGTTTCAATGTCATACCTTATCTTCGAATTTTGTTGCAAGATCATACTTTCCGTCAGTTGTCTGTCAATTCTTATATTAAAAAACTAATAAAATATTATTAAAAACTAAAATACAATTATTTTAATATTGGGACCCACCCACCTTCTTCCCTCCCACCTGTCTCCCCCTTCACTCCAGAGCCCCCCCTCCACCCCCTGCAACCCAGAAAGGAAGAAGAAGAAGAAGAAGAAGAAAAAAAAAAACCATCTTCATCTTCCTCGGATCCTAACCCCCCTTTCCCTGCAACCCAAATCTCGTTTTCCGCCGATTCCGCAGGTGGAGAAATTGGGCACGTAGAAAATGGGGGGAATGGGTGTGGATTTAAGGAATGGGGTGTGTAGAGGAGGGAAGAGGGTGGGTGTGGAGGAGGAGGGAAGGGGAAGACGGGAGGGGGAAGAAAGGGGGTGGGTTGAAGGGAAACGGGGTCGGGGAAGATGAAGATGGTTTTTTATTTTTTATTTTTGTCTTCTTCTTCTTCATTCTTTCTTTCTGGGTTGCAGGGGTATGGGGGAAGACGAACTTGGTTGTTTTTTTTTTTTTTTGTTTTTTTTAAATAATAAATAACTTTTCTTTAATTAATTATTATTTTAATATTTAAAAAATATTAAATGATTTGTTTTTAGTTTTTAATAATATTTTATTAGTTTTTTAATATAAAGTGTGCCACATCAGCATTTAACAGAGGAATTGACAGACAACTGACAGAAGGTATGACATTTTAACAAAATTCGAAGATAAGGTATGACATTGAAACTTTTTAAAGACAAGGTATGAAACTATTAATGACTCAATAGTTAAGGTAGTTTTATATAATTTACCTAAAATTAAAATATTATTTCCTACTCACTATTATTCCTAAAATAGCCCTTTAAGCAAAAGAATAAAAAATGGGGAACACATACATGCCCAGCAGTTGGTTCTCTCTTTTAATGAGATATAGCGGAGTTAGTTAACCATGCCTTTTTACTTGTTCTTTTCTTTTCTTTTTTCTTCCCCTCTCTCTACCTTGCGAAAGAGGTGCACAACCATAGCCAAAGCTTCAATCGAACCTCAGTATTGTCCTTGATTCATTAAAGTTTTTGTTTTGGATAATCCGGAAGTGGTTTCAATGATTTGAGATTCTTATTTCCTTCTAAATTTCATGGTTTCTAGAAGATTGGTTCAAGGATTTGAGAGTTGTATTTTTTCAAGTCCTATTTACTAAATGATGGGTTAAGTGGTTTCGGGCTTCTCCTCCATCAGATGATATTTCACATTGATCAATTTCTTCTCACCCAGTTTCAAATGCAAACAGCAGCTTCTTTAACAGAAAGTCCCCAAAATATTCAACCTATATCTTTAAAAAACTAGAAAGAGAAAAAAACTCAAATCATTGGTTGCCAAAAACTATAGGGTGGAGAAGGCGCATATCTCATTCAAAGACAACACACAAGGATCTCCGATTCTTCTTAAGCTCGAGATGAGAGTCGATTGATCTGCGTCTGCTCACGAGGCAATATTTTATTAAAAGATGAGTAAAAAAATAGGACAATAGGGTGGGTTTAGCAACTCTCTTTAGATTTTAATCACTATTCTAGTTTCATTATTTAGGTACAAATTGTAGGTACATCTAAAATCAATCTAAATTTCAGATTTACTAAAAAAATATTATTTAAGGTAAGGATGACAATCTAATTTACTATAATAAATGATCACAAGTAATTTACGATAAAGGGTTATTTTCAATTCCATATAGGTGCGTTTGTTGTACCAGACTATTTTGGATTAGACTGACTTTGCTTGGACCAAGTAGGACAAGAATACTAAGCAGGATACAAATACTGAAATGTTTGATTGTGATGGCCTAAAATACTGAAATGTTTGATTGCAACCAAATGTTTTTATTTCGACTGCCACTCTCCCCATCAATTCAAATGTTTCTCTATTCAAAAAAGCTTTCCTTGCCATAGTTTACTCTATTGCCTGAATTCCATGCTTATCTCATTGTGAATTTTTTTTTTTGTCAAACAATAGATTTTATTAGATTAGATGTTAGATTAACCACGAACGGGGTTCAAACCCACACTATCATATATCTCATTGTGAATTTGGCACCACAATTCATATGCCACACATCTGTAACCAAACCAATGTTCCAAAACAAGTTTGAATTAAAAACACAATAAAAAAAATCCGAAGAAATGCAACAAAAAACCTAATCGAAATCCAATTAAGAGTATCGAGGAAAATGAATCTTTCTCATTAATCTAAAAGATAAATTAATATCCAGTGGCGACGCCACATGAGTGCGAGGAGTGGCGGCCGCCACTCCCCTCACCGGAAAACATAGCCCCAGCGCAGGTTCAGCCCCTCCCCTCCCGGAAAACCCAGCCCCTTCTTTCCCTGTTTGTTATACGGTGAACTGGTTATGCTGCACAGCAGCAGGGTGGATTCTAATTTTTTTTATTTTTCAAATCCAGACCAAAACGACATCGTTTTGATCCTGGTAAAAAAAAAAATTAAAAAACTTACACGAAACAACGTCGTTTCGCTTGTTTGAAAAAAAAAAAATTATATGGTGGGGGGAAGGGGGACCGCGTGTCCCCCATTCAGCCTCTCTTTGCTCTCTCAACCTTTCTCAGAGCCAATTAAAGACAGAGAGCAGCAAAGCTGCCCCACAAAATCCCAGCAGGCAACGGAACGGAACGAAGCCGTTTCCTCTCACAGTTTCACTCCAGCCGTTTCCTCTCACTCTCATAATCTCACTCCAGGCTCTAGCCACTGAGCCACTGGCTTCCACTAGGTCAGCCTTCAAACTTCAATTCCAAGGTAAATTTATAATCCCTACCTAGCCCTAAATAATTATTTAATACGAATTTTATTTAATTGGTAATTTGGTATAGAAATAGAATCATATTAATATGGTAATGCACTAAGTTGGTTATTGGTTGTTGATTATTGATATGATATTATGAAATTAGTTTTTAGGGTGAAAATTAAAATTAAAATTCTTGATTATTGATTAATTAATTGAATTATTACATAATGTATACAATTATTCATATGATTAGTTCAATTGAATTTTTATTTATTGAATAATTTGTTTGCTAATTGGTATTGATTAATTGAATTGTTGGTTGGATTAGTTATTATGCATATTAGTATAGTTTACTCTAGGATTAAGAGTCTAAGAATTTTTTTTTTCTTTCCATTTTACAATTACATAATGGAACGATACTATAAGAAACAATGCTTAAATCTTCCTTCAAACATTTCGGATAGTCCTTCTCCTTCAAATATTCCGAATAGTCCTCCTCCTCCTTCAAATATTCCAAGAAGTCCTCTTTCGAATATTCCGAGTAGGTCATAACAAAGTGAGGCTATTGAGTTGGATGAAATATTGGCTAATCTTCCTGCATACCCTGCACATAGACGTCGAATGCTTGATTATCCACCTAATTATCGTGAAGCAATTTGTAGACACTATCTCCAAAATGATCCTTGTCAACCTAGAGACCACATCATGCCAAGAAAAGTTAGCGACAATCGATGTTTTATCATTGATTGGTTTGATAAATTTAAGTGGTTGGAGTATAGTATATAAAAAAATGCTGCATTTTGTCGTTATTGTTATCATTTCAAATGTGATTTTGATCAAATGGGTAGCACTGGAAGTGATGTCTTCACTGAGATAGGGTTTACAAATTGGAAGAAAGGACCCAAAAATCTTCGAGTCCATGAGGAAGGTGTTGGAAGTCTTCATAATAAAGCTGTACAACAAGCTAGATATTTGATGACACAAAAGCAACACATTGAAACATTTGTGATTAAGAAAACCGATGAAGCTCGCATTAATTATCGTAATCTATTGAGTGCCTCACTTGAATGCACAAGATGGTTGTTGGGAGAAGGTTTGCCTTTTCGTGGCCACGATGAATCGTTGAAATCAAGCAATAGGGGTAATTATTTGGAGCTTATGCAATTTCTTTCCAAGCATAACAAACAAGTTAGGAAGGTTGTGTTTGAGAATGCTCCCAAGAATCTTAAATATTCTTCTTCTGATATTCAAAAAGATCTTGTCCGTGCTTGTGCCATTGAAACTGTAGATGCAATCACTAAAGATATGGAAGGTGCATTTTTTTTTTCTTTTGGTTGATGGGGCATGTGATTCTTCAACTAAAGAGCAAATGGCGGTGGTATTGCGTTATGTGAACAAAAAAAGAGAAGCAATTGAAAAGTTTTTGGGTGTTCAACATGTCTCCTCTATAACTAGTAGCTTGCTTGAAGATGCCATTGAGAGATTGTTTGGTACAACAAATTTGAGTATGTCCAAGTTACGACGACAAGGTTATGATGAAGCTAGTAATATGAAAGGTGAGTTAAATGGTCTTAAAACAAAGATTTTGAACAAATACCCTCAAGCATTTTATATTCATTGTTTTGCAAACCAACTCCAACTAGCTCTTGTATTCGTGGCAAAGGAAAATGAGGATGTTGCCAATTTCTTCATCAATGCTAGTAGTTTGGTGAATCTTATTGGATCATCGTGTAAGCGTCCTGATGCATTTAGAGAGAAACAACAAGAACAAATTCAAAAAGCTCTTGATCTTGGTAATCTTGAAACAGGTAAAGGGTTAAATCAAGAAAGTAGTCTCATGCGTCCATGTGATACATGGTGGAACTCGCATTATGGTACTATAGTTAGTATTATTGTTATGTTTGAAGCCATGTTGGAGGTGGTTGAATGGATTAAAAGTGATCGCAACCAAGATAATCTCGGTGAAGCAACTAGGTTATTCAAAGACATACAAACTTTTGATTTTGCATTTCACCTTTTCTTGATGAGACTTATATTGGGAATTGCAAATGAGATATCACAAGCATTGCAAAAGAAAGATCAAGATATTGTGAATGCGATGGCGTTAGTGGAAGTATGCAAGAAAAGACTACAATCCTTGAAAGATGATGATTTTGGGGACTTGCTTCATGATGTAGAAAAGTTTTGTGAGGAGCATGATATTGTCATTCCTAACATGGAGGAATTTGCATTTCGTACCTAGAAAATCAAGGCGTAAAGCTCTAAAAATCACACACTTCCATTACTATCGTGTGGACCTCTATTTTGAAGTCCTTGATATGCAACTAAAGGAATTGAATGATCACTTCAATGAGGTAAATGCCGAGTTGCTTCTTTATATGGCATGTTTGAGTCCGGTGAATAATTTTGCATCTTTTGACAAAGCAAAAATTGTTCGTTTAGCCCAACTTTATCCTCAAGATTTTGATTGTATGGACCTCATGAATCTTCCAATTCAACTTGACAATTACATTCTTGATATGAAGATGGATAGTGAGTTTTCATCATTGAGAGGAATTAGTGATCTTACAAAAGAGTTAGTGAAGACCGGGAAGTGTGAAAGCTATATGTTAGTGTATAAGCTTTTTACATTGGTTTTGGTGTTACCGGTTGCAACCACTTAGGTGGAGAGAGCTTTTTCTGCTATGAAGATTGTGAAAACACCATTGCGTAACAAAATGGAAGATCAATGGTTGAGTGATAGCATGGTTGTTTACATTGAGAGAGATGTATTTGCTTTTATTGATAATGAGCCTATTATGCAACGTTTTCATGACATGAAACCTCGCCAGCAACAATTGTAATTTGTTTGTATTGATTAATTATGAAGGACATTACTATATAAAAAGATTTAGTTGTTGCAATTATTCTTTAACCTTACACTCTTTTAAGTTTGCCCCTCCCCCCGAGAAATCCTGGCTTCGCCACTGTGTATATATACATACATGCTAAGGAAGAGGAAACTTACTAAGGAAAAAGGTAAAAACATTTACCACAATAACTACTGACTTCCTTAACTAACTTTTAACTCTTGTGAGTTATTTACATTATTGGTTACTCTAGTATTCTCTTCACACCCCCTTAAATTGAACAAAGAAAGTTGAAGAGATAGTTAGGATCGATGTTGAAGAAATCTTTGTCTGGAGAGAGATTTTGTGTGGATATCTGCTAGTTGATCTTGACTGCATACAAATTAAACTGTGAGTAATTTAGCAAGGACTAGATCGTGGATGTAGTGATAGTCAATCTCAACATGTTTAGTTCTTGCATGGAAGATAGGATTTGAAGCCAAAGCAATGGCTGAAATGTTATCACACCAAATCTAAGGCAAAATTGGTAATTTGAAACCAATATCATTGAAGAGAGTGCAGATCCAAGTGATTTCAGCAGTAATGTGGGCTAAAGACCTATACTATGCTTCTATCGATGAACAACAACAATATGTTGGTTCTTGGCACTCCATCTTATAATTGCAAGACCCAGAAAAATACAAAAGCCTCTAGTAGACCTGTTATCCTAAGAGCAGCTAGCCCAATCAACATTAGAAAAGGTTTTGATTGGTAAAGAAGATGAAGTTTTGGGAAACCACAAACCATAGCCACAGGAACCTTTCAAGTATATGACAATTCGTTTGACTGCTTGAAGATGTTCTCTAGGATAACACATAAACATGCACATTAGATTAATAGCATAAGAGAGGTCTGGTCGAGTCCAAGTTAGGTATTGTAAAGCCCTAACAATGGACCTATATTCTACAGAAACTTGAAGAGGTAGACCAGAATGATCGAGTTTTGCATAACCTAGGGGAGTAACACAAGACTTTGCTCCATCCATTTTTGATCTTTTAAGCAAATATAGGACATACTTAGATTGATGAATAAAGATGCCTGAATAGGATCACTTTACTTCCAGTCCAAGGAAATAGCAGAGACCATCTTGGTCCATAACTAGAAATTGAGCACTCAACTGAATATCATAGATTTACAAGCTATAGAAGAAAGGTTGGTGACTATTATGTCATCGACATAGACAAGTACCAAAACCAAAGTTGGTTGATGAATAACAAATAAATTGTGATATGATTGAGAAGCTTTAAAACCCATGTGAATGAGAGCTGACTGAAACTTTTGAAACCAAGCCCTGTGGAGCTTGTTTTAACTAATCAATGAATCCAAAAGGTTGAGATATGAAGACATTTTCTTTCAGAAAACCATGCATGAAAGCATTGCTTACATCGAGGTGATGTAAGAACCTATTTGAATGAACTACCAAAGTAAGAAGAATCCTAATGGTAACTGGTTTGGTCACAAGACAAAAGGTGCCACTGTTGTTAATGCCTTCACGTTGATTATACCTTTTGGCCACTAGTTAGGCATTATATCGATCCATAGATGTATTTGGCTTCCTTTTAATACAGAAAACCCACTTACATTCAACAAGATTTTGTGCGGGATGTCCAAGAACCAATTGCATGTTAGCTGTGTTTTACAAGGCATTAAATTCACCTTGCATTGCTGCCCTTTAATGAGGATATTTGGAGGCTTGCAGATGGGTAGATGGAACAAATTCAAGATTCAAATTAGGGGGAGTGGGTGTTTGATAGCATTGTATGCCTTAGGTTTGTAAATTCCTGATTTGGACCTGGTTTGCACATAGGGTGAGTGGAAGAGACATGTTGTAATGGTGGAGATGGTATGGAAGAGACATATAGATATGCAAGTAATGGAGATGATTGTGGTTCTGGGCGTTGATGTGGAGAAGTAGGTTGTGAGATAGAAGTAGTGGGGTTAGGTGATGGGGTAATGAGATTATTGAATGTGCAAAAGGATAAAGGTCGAGAAAAGTGAGAGAAAAGGTAGATAAAGTATTCTCTGAGGGTGATAAGTGTGGGGTTTGACAGAAGGTAATGGAATGATAAGGAAATGTATTCTCATCGAAATGCACATGCCTAGAGATATAAACCTTATTAGTGAGTAGGTCTAAAGATCTGTAGCATTTGTGAGGTAAGTTATAGCCAATGAAGGCACAGAGCTTGCTCTTAGCTACCAATTTTGAATTTGTGTAAGGTTTGAGCCAAGGGTAGCATGAACATCCAAACACCTTGAGTTGACTATAATCTAGTACTTGCTTGAAGAATTGTTCACATGGAGATGCTTTTGATGGAGGTGGTAATCGATTGATCATATACACAGCAATGAGAAAGGTCTCACCCAAAATTTGTAGGGAACTTTGGAAGCAACCAGAAGAGTTCTTGTTGTCTCGACAATGTGTTTGTACTTGCGTTCTGCACAACTATTTTGTTGTGGTGTGTAGGGACAATTGAGATGTTGCTGAATGCCATGGTTAGCAAGATGAGTCTTGAAACCAGAAGAAAGAAATTTACCCTTTCAATCTATTCTCAAAGTACCAATTTTATTTCCAGAAAGGTTCTCAACAACAGCTTGAAATGGAATAAAAGTAGTAAAAACATCAGATTTACACTTGAGAGGAAACATCCATGTAAACCTTGTGAAGTCATCAACAAATATCATATAGAACCTATAACCATTCATAGAAAACAATGGAGCTAGTCCCCAAACGTCAGCATGTACCAACTCTAGTGGTATGGAAACAGTACATAAGGATTCATGAAATGGTAACCTTGCACATTTTCCAAGAATACAATTGGAACAAAAAAAACTGAGCAACATTATTTGTAATATGTAAAGCAAACTTTGACACTACTGTCTTAAAAGTCTTGAACGGTGGATGTCCTAAATGTTGATGCCATATCTATTGAGGCACCTTTATTGCAACATTTCCAGAATACTTTCCAGAAGATGTAGAGGAAGTAGAGAAGGGATAGAGGCCATGATGAACTAGTCCTCTAAAAAGGATCTTCCTCGTAGTAAGATCCTTAACAGTAAAGTCAGAAGGATTTAGAGTCAATGAACACCATTTGTCTAAAAGGAACATATTTGCAGAGAGCAAATTATGTTTCAAATACGGAACATGCAATACATTTTGCAATTTGAAAGTACCAAGTGGTGTTTTCATGAAAGAAGAGCCTAAGTGGAGAATAGGCAAACCTTGACCATCTCCAATGTACACTTTGTTAGGACTTATGTATGGCTGAGAATTCTACATATTTTGGACATTTTTGACATATGAGAGTTGGCACCAGAGTCAATCAACCATGAAGGAGGAGAAAAAGAAGAGATGTCGGCACACATAACAAGTTTTGCAAGTGGAAATCTGCCTTGGAAATTCGGATTAGTTCGACTTGAGCATTCAATTGTTTAATGTCCTGGATCTTCATAGATTTGACAAGGAACAGGTTTTGAGAAATTGTTGTTGTAGAAATTTCCACCACGATTGCCTCCTCGATTGTTGTAGCGATTAAACTTGGTGCAATTGTTGTAATTCATTTGAGAATTGTTTCTTGAAAAATTGCTCCGGTTCTTATTGAAAGAAGATGGAGTTTGAACATTGTAAGCTTGAACTTGAGGCACATTTGGGGTAGTAAGTAGTGGAGGATTATCAGATGGTGCATGGAGCTAATTGTAGGCCTGAAAAGGTTCATTAAAGGAGCCTTGGTTATGTTTCGTTCTCGACATAGCCATCTCTTTGCTTAAAAAAAAAAAGCCTTGAAGACTGTCGACTGTTGTGTCATCTAAATGGAACTGAACCGAATCGACGAAAGAGTCATATTCATCAAGTAAGCCACTGAGAATTATGAGAAGGAGATAGTGATCATCCACAAGTGCTCCAGCAACAGCAAGAGCATCAATAACTTCATTGATGCGTTGCAAGTATTCAGAGATTGAGGATAAGGCTTTGCTCATGGATTGGAGGTTAGAACGGAGTTGATGGATGTGAGAGCGAGAAACTCCACCAAATCTTCTTTCAAGATTTTGCCATAGTTCACGAGTAGATTGCACTCAAACAGTAGAAAGAATTAAATCTTCAGAAACATCAAATTTATCAAGATGATGATGTTTTGGTCATTCTTATACCATAACTTGAACACTAGATTAAGAATAGGGGCGACATCTCCATAATCATCAACAAGAAATTGAGGTGAAAGCTCAGATCCATCGACGATTCTAGTAAGTTTGTAATGGCAAAAGATTGGATTGAAGAAAGATTTCCAAACAAGATAGTTGTGGCGTTTAAGCTTCATATGTACCATGCTACTGATATTTTGGACCATAATCGAATTAA